ATGAGATCATGACCTGAGCTGAAGTTGGATGCCCAACCGACTGAGCCACCCAGGTGCCCCGATTGATATCCTTTAGAGTGTAGGAGCCAAGAGCAGGATGCCCCAAAATGATCGCTACTTTTTTTGTTTTTTGTTTTTTTTTTAAAAGACAATTCACTGTACACATTTTATTTACAGTTTTGTACACTGTCTGAATGTGAATGGGACCACTTTTCTACTTGAGCCATTTTTTAACCAAAGAAAAATAACCTGAGTAATACAAAGGGTTAATATACAAAGTAAAGATACAAAAAGAGACATACTAATTTTAATAAGGAATGTAATTATGATGTTACATTTTCTTTATAACCCACAATTATGTTTAGGAAATCACACAAACATAGATCACTGATTTCAATGAAATGCATACATTTGTAGCAAGGATTTGTAGTTACAAAAAACAACAACAAAATGACCAAAGAATGCACAAAATTAATGTGTATTCCACCTCTGTGTCATATTCCTGGATCCTTCACCAATGTTACATGAGGAAAAAAACAAAAGCAAAAGCAATGAAAAAACTGAAATCAGAATCACTAATGTTATCAGGTAGGGAAATAAGTAAATTAGAATCTAGCAGCCATCAGCAAGAGCACAGCAAAGACAATGCTGTAAAAAGAAACAAAGAAAATTGCTGGAAAACTACGCATCATACTCTTTCAAACTAGCAAAATATGCTCCTGCCTACGATGGGACATAAACAGGATTTTTTTTCCTTTAAGGTGTAGAAATGCAAGTTCTTTTTTGAATATGGTGGATGGGCAAAAATGTGTTTATAATGGTAATTCTACTAAGCTATTACAGAGTGGGCCAGGAACACATTCATGGATTCTGGGGATGATGTGTACTGTAATTTGATTGGGACAGTGGACAGTCTAGCAAATAAAAACATGAACACAGAAGTATAAGACAAAGGTGAATGAGACTTCTCTCTTAGCAACGTTTAGATGGAAATCAAATTTAAATGCAGTCCACTCTGCTTTTGAAGAGGCTTTGGTTCAACTCCAAATCTCGGCTGCTTGACACAGTCTCTTCTGAGAATACTCAGAAGGTGTCTTCTTAAACTGCAAACTTATTTGTAGTGGTAGAGCCACTCTTAGCAGCTGTGTCCACATGAGACTGATAACCAGTCACTATCTTTGGAGGTGGTCCAACCTTTCCTTGTACACCCTCCCTATATGTGTAACAGCCTCTCTGTTTTCACATTCAGAAGTTCGTATTGCTGTCTTACCACCTTTAGCTCTAACGTTAACAACCACTTCACATACATCATCACCGTAGTCATCAAAAGATTCTCCAGTAAGGCACTGCAGTGTCTCTAAGCCAAAAGTCACCCAGGTCACTTAGTCTCTGCTGTTTCTTCAATGTAATTAACCATCGTCCACCTCGTTTGTTTTTCTCATCTTCCCACATAGGCTCAATACCATCGTTAAAAAGTGAGTAGTCACAGCTGGGCATTAAGTTACTAGACAACTGGATGTGGTTGTACAGAGCCCAAAAGTCTTCAACGGTATCAAACTTAGAGCTCCACCGAAGGTTTGCTTGCCAAGCTTTGCTTTTATCATTTTTAAAAAAGCCAGAGTGCCCATCTGTTCTGTAGAGGATGTTTAATATAGTGTTCTGGGTTAGCAACCTCCTGATTAGGAAGTTGGGGGATTAGGAGTAGGGGTGGCTTCCGGTTCCACAGTCGCCATCTTAGCAAGATGGACCACTTTGGCGTGAAGATTGAGTTAGGAAGCAATCAATCAAAAGCCAGCAGATTCAGGAAAAGCACCTCTCAACCTCTTGAAAGAATTTAGATGGAGGAACTGGTGCAGGAAGAGAGCTATCACCTGTAGGTAAAACTACAGTATGATAAGAACTAGGTATGGTAGGTGGGGGGAACCTAGTCCTCCATGTCGCACTGTTTCTGAGCGGTGCAGCAAACATTTGTTTCCCAAATATTTACTTTTTTTTTTTTAATCTTCCCATAAGTTGCATTCTTTTCCTCCAAGGCCCCAGACCCTTGGCCCCTTTTTCCTTAGTTTGGGTGGATATATATATACCTCATCTTGCCTGTCTTTGGAATATCTATGTGTGGATTCCCCATAGATATGCTATTAAATTTAATTTTCTCCTGTTAATCTGTCCCATGTCAATTTGATTCTTAGTCTGGCTAGAAGGACCTTGAAGGAGATAGCAATTCTTGCTTCCCAACAAGAGGTTAATGAGAAATATAAAATTTTCTATCAAAGCTCATGGACCTCATGAAACTAAGAGGCCACTAAACCCTATACTAATAAATTTTGCTCAGGAATCAAGGTGCTAACAAAAATCTGTTTACACACATGCATAAATTCAGTCCATAAACAGACCTGAAAGGGTTTTTTAAAACTTTTCATTAACCATTGGGACTCTTCGTCTAAAACGTTATATTAACAGCAATACTGTGAGCAAAGAGAATGGTAGTGACACTGATCTATGCTTGAACCTCAGCTGGGTTGCTTCATGGACATTTCACCACCAGGGTGTTGTGAGGGCTCCATGAAACCATGCAAGAAGTGACTGGCCCCATGTGTGGCACATAGCAATCACTCAATAGATGTTGGTTTTTGTCCTTCTCTCATTCACCTCTCTTACTACCAGCAATTGGAAGTATGAGGGTGATTTCCCTGGGCCTTGCAAATAGCCTCCTCTCCACCAGACTTTTTAAAGATCATTATCTCACACTCTAGTCTCTATATACTCTCTGGAAAGCCATTACTTCCCTTAGAAGCCAAGGAACAAAGTAGCCTGATTTTTGACTCTATGTCCATTCTCCCCCAAAACAAAAGGGCAGCATTTAGAAGCCAAATTAAGAGGATCGCTCATCTGTGGTATCACCAAGATCTCAGTTACCAACCCTGAAGCCAAGAGAGACCATGAATGTGAGGACACAATGTTCTGCTTTCTCCTCAGAGCAGGACAAATGGCATCTAGGCTGAGTAGATGGCCTTCTTGCCATGGGGTGCATTAATTTGGGACTCTGCATCAGTAGGATTATGGACAGTGGTATCATGTGAGACTTATCCATATGTTCAGCACATCACCATGTGTCAGGCAAAATGCTAGATCAAGAATAACAGACCCATATTCATAATTAGTACCTATATTCATGATTTACATTACGAAACCATAGAATCTTAAAGTTGTAAATGACCATGGAATTGTTGAAGTCTAAAATCACAGATAAATGGCTTGCTAAAGATGCTATGAATTACGTAGTAATCAACCAAAGGTCTCAGACTCCTAGGAAAATCTTCTTTTTCCATCATACCACACAACCTCTCATAGGTTCTAATACTTATTCTTTCCTATGCAGTGCTAAATGAAGAAGAAAATTGTTTCCAAGAGAAAATTTGATAGGTGAGGTTTTGGGAGAGGATGAGGAGTAAGTCAGAGTACCCAATGTTTGGGTAGAGTTGCAAAACTTCACAATCTTAACTATAAATAATCCAGTAGAAAAGAGATTCAAAACTCAGTGGGCCTTTCAGAAAGCATCTGCCAAGAGGAACCTTGAAAGAAGGAGAGTGGACATTGAAAACTAACTGCAGTTTAACCTGGAAGGTTCTTTACTTCATTTGCTATGGCTTTAGAGTCATTCTCTTTAAACAGCTAAATCAGAGAAATTAGGTGACAAATGAAATGCCCTGTTGGCCTTGTAAACCCAAGCGCCAAAGGCTCAGGGCTTTGCCTTCTTGATAAGCCTTTGAAAAGTCCTGAAAAAAATGCCATCCAGTTTCTAAGACGCTCTCCTGAAATATGGCAGAACAGAAAACTAGATTCAAGACTTCACAATCTTGCTCTTCATTCTAGAGCCAATTCTTGTGACAGAAACAAATTCCCTAATGTCTCTCCTTAGGCAACGATTGGCTTCACACTCTAAGTGGTCATAGAAAAAGAATATTGTAATTTTTGTGGCATTTGAGATGAGACTTCCTGTCACTCAATCTTCACCTGATATCTAAAAATGTCAGGCTTGATATGTTTTAATAAACATATGGTTTCTACAAGCAAAAAATGTCATTAAATTAGTTCTCTATGGAAGATCCCTAATAACTTTAGCCAAGGTGCCATCAGCTCACTGACGCAGGTTTAGGAGACTTAGAATGCCAGGCTGAGCCATGGTTTCCCAATGCTTTGCCCATGGTGAACCTTAACTGAGTTAACTTTTGTAGAGATAGGTAACCTAAATCATAGAAAAACGAGCCAGTTCGCAATATAAATTTGGTAAAGATCATGCTGTATGGTAATTCTAGCAAGAATTTCACAGTCTTACAGAATAAATAGTCCCTGACTATGGAGGACAGATTTCTGCTAAACTTAAGTAGTTTTGGGCGGAGAATAAAGCTCTAGACTGAAGGCCCAGCTTGGTCATAGATTATACATCTTTTCCTCTTTCACTCTCCTGTTTCTTCGCCGTCAGGTGAGGAGCTACATGAGCTTTTCTTACTTATACTCTTCGTTCACATGGAACTGTACCTGGCACACAAAAGTTCTCAGTAATACTTATTCATTGAATATATGAATAAATCTCCAAGAGACATTGAATCAAGGTGATTAAAAGTGTGGCCTCCACTAGATATGTAATCATGGGTAAGATATTAGACCTCACTACGCCCCAGTTTCCTCCTCTGTAAAAATTAGAATAAAAATGATAATATCATAACTATGACAATAATTACCAGGCTAAAGATTATAATTAAAAAATAAAGTTAGCTTAATGTAACACTCCCCTCCCTTTACTAATTATCATTATTCTTTGCTATGGGGTAGAGAGAGATTGAACTTGAGCTTCCAGAGAAAAGCTTGTGTGATTGGTTTCCCTTAGGCATGAATAATCCCTGCCCTGTGATGAAGAAGGTTTCCTCCTTGCAGCCTAAAGAGCTGTTCTTGCAGTTCTTGGCTTCTTTTCTTCCTGTGCAAGGGACTTCTGGTTCAGGATGGACAAACGCTTGTTGATAGCTTCCTTCCTTTTCTGCTTCATTGTAGGTGAGTCACAGACCTGAGAAGTGGGCTCCAGAGTCAGGGTCTATAAACCCTACATGCATAGCATGTATCCATGGAGGGCTGAGCCTTGACCACATTTATAAGGGAGGGGAAGCCATTCTTCAGAATGCTCCTTCTGCCTTAAGGGCCAACTTTTCTGACCTTTTCAACATTCAACCATTCCTCCCCAGAGTCTCAAGCCTCTATGGCTGCCCCTTCATACTCTTTGCCCATTCTGTCCCTACCATTCCCCATAATCCAAAATCCCAGCAAGACTTTCCTTAGGTCATCCTTTCCATTCATAAATCTGTATCACATTTGCTGGGAGAGCTGGTCAGTCTATAACGAATAATCTTGTAGTCTGTTTTAGTGCTGTACAATGATTTCTGATACCCTTATCAGGGACTTTATATGAAAACAAGTGATTATAGGAGAGGAAATACTGGATGCTCTAGAATCAGATTTTTAAAATCACTGTCTTAAAATCTCTGTCCCTTTGGTTGCTCATCTGAGAAATGGGGAAATACTTACAAGGCTTTTGTGATGATTAAATCAAATGTGAAGTGAGAAGGTATGGCCCAAATGGGATGCTCAATAAATACTACTTTCCTTTCTCACTTGGGTGCACCAGGGAGAGGTTTTTAGTTTGTTTTATTAAACCTGTATTTTTTATTAGCTCACTCCACAATATCATGGTAATTGTCACTAATATGTTTTAATTCATGAGGATGTTACATACATTCATTCAATTCCAAGTTCAAAATTACAGTGTATATTACCTCACAATATCTAAGCAGAAAATGTTAGTAACACTAGCTTGGGTAAAATATTTTAAAGCATTCACCCTCATTATTACACTCTCACCTATCTACAGTGCTGCCAAGTAAGCTGGTACATCATTAATAGAACCATTTTAAAGGTGGAAAAACCAAAGCCACGGAGGCTAAATCTTTGCTCTGAGTTACCTAGGTTAAAATGGCTAAAATTGGGATCAGAAGAATCCTTTTATACTCACAATGGCATTTCTCTGGGATATGAAGTTGGTGAGAGCTCCAACTGTTTACTATGTGCTCTTCTACCCACCACCAGCTCCTCATCCACCCCCCGCACCTTCCACAATCAGGTCTTGATAATTCCAGCTCCTTCTAAAGTGTCCCTGGTCTCATACCAGCTCTACACGCACCAGCAGTGACACCACTGAGGTGCTTAACATGCCACCTTCGCACACGGACAGATCGCTGTAGAAGAGGCTTTGGATTCTGTACGGCTCAGAAGTTCGAGTCATGCATGTCTTTAAAGATCTTCCAGGGTAAGTTAGAGGGCCAGGAGAGGTACTGTGAGAACCTTAGAAAGTTCTTAGGAGAGTACTTCAGCGTTTTTATATCTCAGACCAAGGCCAATCTAGAAGAGGAACCAGCCAGCAGAATGCCTCTGAGCTCAGGTCCCTGTGCATGCAGACAGAAGAGGACTGGGGGAAATGAGACAGGAGGAGGAAGATGGGGGTTCTATTTTCCCAATAAATCTGACCAGATTTTAAGTCTGAAGACACTAAGGCCCTAGTTGCTAATCTTCTACCAGGAAAAGGAATGAAGCAGCTATATAGAGTTATAGGGACCCCAGGCAAATGACCATGACAGGGGCCAGCGATTTCTATATCTCCCTGGCTCAGTCCTCTTGGTATCTAGAAGCTGTGAAGCCATCCCTAAACCTACCTGATGCCTCATTAAATTTCCACTGACAAGAACAGTGCCAGGGTTGACTTGCTTCTAGAGAACTTAGATCACTGGCTTATTTTCTATGTTCTTTCTTATTACAGATAACATTCTGCAGTTATCATATATGGTGTGCCAAAGATTCTGCAGAGAATTGACATTTGATCACAACATTCGGACTTATGTTCATAAATGTTGCAGATACGATTTTTGTAACGTCAAAATCTAAGATATTTGCCTTCTCAAGGTCTCACTCTGAAGTATTGATGTTTCTCACCCTTCTTAACCCGCCTTTGCCTTGTCTGTCTTGGAAGTACCCCTGCTCTCTCTTTAATTCATTGTCACCCTTCCTGGCACCTCCAGCTTGGTTTCTATCTCAGTCAGGGGATAATGGTTCTGAAAAACAGTTTTCTTCCATGATAGGGACTGGCATTTCTATACTCCAAGAATCCTGTCCCAAGAGGCTCAGTACAGCGAAATTTAAAACAGTTCTATTCCCAAACCGTATGATAAGCTAAGATAGTTGAGGTGGACTAGAGGCACTTCTGCTGAAAATTCACAAATATTTTTATCTTAAACTCCCATTTTTATCATTAAAATAATTTTATCATTTCAATAAGCAGAAATAGCAGCAAAATGGACGGTGGACACTTGAGATTTTCCTCTACAGAGACATTATTTTCCAAGTGGACAGTATTCATTTCAAATTCAGTCATGATTTTCTTGGCATTTGCAAAATACACCCACATACAATGTTAGTATGAACCAGAAAATAAGGAAATTCGTGCCTCTGTGATATTCATAGCTCACACACAGCCTTGTAGGTCTGTTAATATGTACATTCCAGATACATTCCCAACTGTCCTTTCTTCTCTTTCTTCTCTTAATCTTTCTCTGCTCCTTTCCTCTATGTTACAGTATGTAAGAAGAACCAATTCAAGCTGGATTGCAAATTGAATATGAAAATTACCCAATAAACTAGAAGAAAGTATAGCATGCATTTTTATAACTTTGAAATAGGCAAAGGTTACTTAAACATGACCTAAAAAGCAAAATCATTTTCAAAAAATTGATAAATTAGACCACATTAAAATTAACAATGCCTGTTCACCAAAATGTATCATTAAGAGAGTAAAAAGGCAAGCTAAAGACTTGGGAGATATTTGCAATACTTATATCCTCTGTAGAACTTGTATCCAGAAAGCAAAAATAATTCTTACAAAAAGCTGAGGGATTTTATCAACACTAGACATGACTTGCAAGAAATGCTAAAAGGAGTTATTTAAGCTGAAATGAAAAGATGCTAATCAATGGCATAAAAACATACAAAAATATACAATACACTGCTTTAGGTTAATATACAGTCAGACCTAGAAAATTCTAATAGGCTGGTGTAGTAACCACTTAACTGTATAGTACAAGGGGCAAAAGGAAAAACATTAACATAATTGTAACTCCTATAATTATCAATAAATACACAATATAAAAAGAGGTAAATAATAACATCAAAATGAAAAAGAGGGGAGAAAAAGGGTGAGGCTTTTGTAGACAATCCAAGGTAAATTACTATCAGCTTAAACTGGACTATTTAATCTACTTGACACTTGATCTCCACAATCAGACTTATGTGCAAAAATGATGCAACTACAATTATTGTAACTTCAATAAGACTCATGCTAAGCACAAAGCAAAAACCTAGAGTAGACACACAAAATCTAAACAAAGAGGAGAAAAGGCAAACAACCATGGAAAGTATCAATTTACAAAGATAGGCAGAGACTATGGGGGAGGGGGGAGGAAGAAACAACATAAATACAAAACAACTGGAAAACAATAAGATAACATTAGTAAGTCCTTACATATCAATAACAACTCTAAGTATAAATAGATTGAATTCCTCAGTAAATAGGCACAGCATGGGTGAGTGGATAAAACAAGACCTGACTGTATGCTGCCTATAAGGGACTCCCTTCAGTTTTAAGGACACACATAGGCTCAAAGAGAAGGCATGGAAAAAGATATTCCATACAAGTGGAAACCAAAAGGAAGCACAATAGCTACACCTGGATCACACAAAACAGATTTTCTTAAAAAGTTTTATTTATTTTTGAGAGAGAGAGAGAGACAACGTGAGCTGGGGAGGGTCAGAGAGAGAGGGAGTTACAGAATCTGAAGCAGGCTCCAGGCTCTGAGCTAGCCGTCAGCACAGAGCCCGACGCGGGGTTTGAACCCACGAACCGTGAGATCATGACCTGAGCCGAAGTCGGATGCTTAACCGACTGTGCCACCCAGGAGCCCCCACACAAAACATTTTAAGCCAAAAATAGTAATAAGAGAAAAAGAAGGTCAATACATAATGATAAAGGAGGTAATTCATCAAGAAGATATAATAATTATAAATATATGCAAACTTAACATTGAAGCACCTAAATGTATTAAGCAAATACTAACAAATTAAAGGAGAAATAGACCATGATACAATAGTAGCAGGAAACTTCAAAACTCTGCTTTCAACAATGGATAGATCATCCAGACAGAAAATCAACAAGTCAACAATGGACTTGAAGCATACCTTAGACCAAATGGACCTAATGGACATTTATAGAACATTCTATCCGCCAGAAACAGAATACACATTCTTGTCAAGTGCGCATGTAACAATCCCCAGGAAAGACCATATAACAGGACACAAAACAATTAGCAAACTTAAGGAGATTGAAATCATACCAAGTATCTTCTGACCAGTGTTATGAAACCAGAAATCAATAACAAGGGACTGAAAAATCTACAAACATGTGGAAAACAGCAACCAATGGCTCAAAGAAGAAATCAAAAGAAAAATTAAATATATTATATACATATGTAAAAATCGAAACACAACTAAAACCTATGATATGCTATAAAAGCAATTCTGAGAGGGAAGTTTATAGCAATAAATGCATCTATTAAGAAAATAGATATTAAATAAACAACCTACTTTATACCTCAAAGAACTAGAAAAGCAAAACAAAATAAGCCCACAGCTAGCAGAAGCAAGGAAATAGCAAAGATCAGAACAGAAATAAATAAACCAAAAACAAGAACAATTTTAAGAATCAACAAAACTAAGATCTGATTTTTCAAAAAAAAAAAAAATAAAGAAGTTGACAAACCGTTATAGCTAGGCTAACTAAGAAAAAAAAGAGAGAAGATTCAAACTTTAAAATCAGAAATGAAAGAGGAGACATTACACTGATAACACAAAATAAGAATTCTAAGAGACTACTAAGAACTATCATATGCCAACTAATTGGTTAACCTAGGAGAAATGGGTCAATTTCTAGAAACATATAACCTACTAAGACTGAATCAGAAAGAAATAGAAATCTGAATAGACCAACAATGAGTAAGGAGATTGAGTTAATAATCCAAACCCTCCCAACACGGAAAACCCTTGGATCAGATGGCTTCACCAGCAAACTCTATCAACCATTTAAAGAGGATTTAACATCAATCCTCATACTCTTTCAAAAAATTAAAAGGAGAGAACATTTCTAAATTCATTTTACAAGACCAATGTTACTCTGATACCAAAGCCATAAGAACACTATTAGAAAACTACAGACCAAAATCCCTGGTAAATATAAAAATTCTCAACAAAATATTAGCAAACTAAATTTAACAACATATTGAAAGAACTAATCACCACGACCAAATGGGATTTATGTCTGGGATCCAAGGATGGCTTAATATATCCACATCAATAAATCTGATATGCCACATCGATAGAATTTAAGATTAAAATCATATGATCATCTCAATAGAGGCAGAAGAGCATTTGACAAAATATAACAGCATTTCATGAGAAAACTCGTCAACAAAGTGGTTATAGAAGGAACATACTTCAACATAATAAAAACCATATAGGACAAGCCCACAGTTAACTTTGTACATACAATGAAAAGCTGAAAGCTTTTCCTCTAAGATCAGGAACAAGACATATGTGCTCACTCTCACCACTCATATTCAAGATATACTGGAAGTCCTAAGCAGATAAATTAGGCAAGAAAAATAAATAAAAGATCAGAGAAGTAGAAGTAAAATTACCATTATTTGCATATAATATGAACATATATACAGAAAACTCTAAAGATGTAACCAAAAAGCTATTGGAACTAAGCAACAAATTCAGTAGAGTTGGTGGATATAAAATCAGCACATGGAAATTAGTTGCACCTGTACACCAACAACAAAACATCTGAAAAAGAAATAAAGACAACGATCTCATTCAAAATAGCATTAAAACAAACAAAAAATACTTAGGAATTTTAGGAAGGAAGTGAAATATCTGTGCAATGAAAACTGTAAGACGTTGATAAAAGAAATTGAAGAAGATACAAACAAATGGAAAGATATCCCATGTTCATAAATTGGAAGAATATTGTTAAAATAACTATCCATATACCCAAAGCCATTTATGGATTCAACACAATTCCTATTAAAATTCCAACAGGATTTTTTATAGAAATAGAAAAATCAATACAAATATTTGTATGGAACTACAAAAGACCCTGCTTAGCAAACCTGCTGGGAGCCGCACTGGCATCGCTGGATGACAGTCACAGTGAGGAGATGGTAGCGTTTGCACAGCTCCTGCCATGAGAAACGAAAACTGGCATCTCCTTCTGCTACTACTGGCTCATGTTGGACATGAGGCTGCTGGTATTGACCAGGCCTCACTATGTTCCAGGTCAGACCAATATTCCCCACACAGATTGCTCATAAGGAAAGACATGTCCCTGCCTTTTCCAAAGAGACTTCAGATGAAAACATTGTTGCTGATTGTTAAAAGGCTCTTCCTAAGGGCCTTGCAGATCCAAGACTTACATAATAAAGGGAGCTTGAGTCTGGTGAGACAAAGAGCCTAATTTAGACGTAAGGGCAGATATCCATCCCCACCCAATTGTTTCTGCCTGGAGCACTGACTGCCTCCCACCTGAAGGCATTTGTTATCAAGTATTTGGAGTGACTTATTCTGGCCTTGAATATGCTGATTGCTCCCTGTGAAGGAACCTATTGAGGAACTTCTTCTTTTGTGATTATGGGAGTAGAGGTGTTTCCTGAAAGACCTGTTTGACCCCTGCTCACAGAGAAGTAACCTCACCCTTTTATGCTAAAAACTTTGGTATGCTTAAGATGCCTTCCTTCCCCATAGGATAAGCATCTAAATCCCCCTACCTCAATCACTAT